CACCTATAAATAGTATGATTTCCATTTATACTCTATTTAATATACACTTTTTGTGGGACATAAACAGTACATGTAATACATGGTTAGTTGGGATTTTTTCAATTCGAATCATCACCAAAAGCGATTAATAGGCATAAGGTTGGTTAAAAGTCTCCAAATCCTAATACAAGTCCAAATCAAATTTGTCTTCCTAACAGTTTCCGAATATTCATAATATTTTGTTAAGTAAAAAATTGCAAATGTCAAAATTTTTTAGAATCAACTAGAATCATTCAGAACGTTTTTATTTTCAGCAAAATAAGAATTAAAGAAAAAGAAACTACTAAAAATATTTTTCCCAGTCGGCAAAAAAATTTGTCCTTGCTTCATTGATCCTATCGTCGGTCGGCAGCTTTCTCGATGCTTTTCTATCGACTTTCTTCTTGACTCTTCTTCTCGGCCACCAAACCGATGTGCATCAAAAGTTTTAATTTTATTAAAAAACAAACATAAAACCCATGGAATTGAAACAATATTGAGAGTTTGAACATTAATAAATAAATTATTGAGCAATTGATTCACTTTCTTCCTTCGGCATCTAGTCATATATAGAACATCTAATGTTAGATAATGGATCTTGTACTACTCCTTGAACTTGAATTTGATTATGCAGTAGAACATCTTGATGCCCTTGGGCTTATAGTTGTCTTGAATGTTCGCTCAAAAAATTAAAAAAATAAAATAAAATTCTTCTGTTTCAAAATGTATTAAAAGTAAAAGTTCAAACTAGAGAATCATTTAAAGCGGGAGAAGTATTTTTTGATTGGTCACTCATAATGCTTTACATCTATACTTTAGAGTTTAGAGCTGTCATGACCGCAGAGAGACATATTATAAGAATTCCGCCCACTCTGATATGTTCATCTCAATTGTAAATTCTCACCTTGGATATCATTTCAATTAATAACAATTGATCATGGAAATTACAAAGGTATATTCTTGTTTGCAACAAACTAATTAAAGTGGAACTTATCTTCAATGTCTGTTATGAAGAATCCCACCCCGAATGATTGAAATGTATTAATAGCGATTTGCCTTAAAAAGATTCCTATCTCTGTTGCATTAATCAAATATCTACAAGTTAGAAAAATGATTTTTAATTTGTTACTTTCTCTACAAGCCAGCAATGAAGGATACACAGCACATCCATCAATGTTTTTCTTCATATTTTTTCTTTCCGCAGTGAAGCATAATTTTTTTTTTGTACCATTTATTTTTCATGGAACCATATACTTTCTTTAATTTTCTTTTTCTCAAAATAATAATTTAAAGCTTGAGTCCCCGCCATATATATATATATTTATTATGGTGATTTTGCACTCAATCGTCAACAAGAAAAAAGTTCTCCGAGAAGAGACTTTACTGAGTTGGATTATTTTTAATTCAAGAATTGAAGTTGTGTTTCTGGCTTTTACTATTTTTTCGTGACAGTAAAATTTAAGAGAAACATTATTTCCTCATCGGAAAACGGGAGGTTGTTTCATATTTTTGGCCTACTAAACCAAAATTTAGAATAAGAATATGGTGCCTATCCAAATTTTGACCAAACAAAACTGACTCTAAGTCGAAAGAAAAAGGACACCCTGTGACGCAAAGGACTATTGTCCCCGTGAAAAAAGGCACTAGTAAACGAATCTGTAATAATGATAATTCAAAAAAAAAAAGGGCACAACAAGGGTGAACGAGCACAATATTTGGAAGGCTGGAAGTTCAAGTAAAAGACACACATGTGTAGTCTTTCTTTAGTATTAGTATTATCTCTATCCCAAAAATATTATTTAATTTTAAAAACGTAAATCTTAGAAGTAGACTCATGAGATTGGTATAACCTAAAATTAATTATTAAATTTGATAAATAGTCACAAAACTTTATTCAATTTTTTATATTAATTTGTTTTGAGAGGTCATATTATTTTTTTAATTTACAAGATTAAGTTATCTAATTTTTATATTTTAATTTTTTCAAATGGACTATTTTTCTGGGACTGAGATAGTATTTCTTTTAACATAGATTTTGTGTACAATTTAAGTATTTCATAAATAATAAATAAATGTGCAGTAGTGCGAATTCAAAAACAAAACAAAAAACAAAAAAACCCAAAAGAAAAACTGAAAAAAAGGAAAAAGGCAAACTATAGGGTCATGATTCATGAACGAACAAAAAATTTGGAGCACTTGAAGTGCGAGTAAGAGATACGCTATAGAATCTTTCTTCAATAGAAATACTATTATTTCCTTTCTCATGCATAAAACCTGTTTAATAATTTTATGTTTTACATAAATGATGAATGAATCCGCAATAGGGTGAATTCAAAAAAAAAAAAAAATTGAAAAAGAGAAAGGCAAAACAAGGGTCAAGGAACACAAATGTTGTTCCTCAACTTTTCTTTAAAAAGTATTAAGCTTGTTGAGATTGTTCTCTTTTTAAAGAGAGAAAGGACATAATGTTCTTAGATCAAGATGCCTGGCTTCTGAAGGAGAAGTTTGTGGATTCCATCATTCCACAGTTGAGAGCAGGAGAAGTATTAGATGCTTTATAGATCAAATCACCATGCAAAAAATTCCTATATCCTTAATTTGGATATAAACATCTAGCTAGATATATAGGTATAGTTGGTCTAAACTAGAACAGAAAAGTGGTACTGTAAAATGCTTTTAGCTTGATTAGGACTTTGAAGAAAAATTGAAGTAGGGGCCTAGCAGAAGAGTTCATGTGATATGGGATTTTTGGGCATCTTGTGAAAGTTGTGATTCTCTGAAGAATTCAATGAGTTGCCAAAACATGGTTTACACAGTTTATTGTCTACCTCTTTAATTATATTCTGGAACCAAAATGCATATAGTATTCTGGAGGAATAATGGCTAGTGGTTATACAACTATAGTAATTAAAATATTTTTGTTTCTTTTCATGCACATGAATTATTCCGAACGAATTTATACGGCGCTTTTACCAGTCTTGAGAAAGTTTTCCAACAACATCAAAAACATCAATCACCCCTTTATTTTTGACATTAAAATATAATAATTTGTTAGCTTTGGCATTAAATGAAATAATGGGTAAGCATGCATTTGATAAGGAATTATGAACCGATCGCCTAGAATTTCAAGTGAAAGACACAGTTAAATTTTCCAAGCTACAAAAATGCAGTAGCTCCTCTACAAAAAATTAAAAAAATAAAATAAAAATGCATCCCACAATGCATTCTGTGTTTCTGGAGTAATATTCCGAGCCACTGGGTATTGAAACACAAATTTTTTTTCAGAATAACAATACATTTCCCCAAAGTTATCTTCTTTAATTAATTTGTCATACATATATTGCATGCACAATGGCTTGAACGAATTAATTGAAATGATTTCTATGTTGTAAGAAGCACATTTCTCCTTGATATGGTAATTGGGGAAAAAAATATTTCGATCCATAACATGCAAATATGTAATGCATGGTTGGGTCCTTTTTCAATTCAATCATCACCACCCCATGACTCCAATGGATTAATTCATCTCACCGGCCGATCTTTAGAGAGGTGATTGGGTAGAAATATGGATGGAAGAGTATAACAATTCACCCATTCATCTTTTGAGAGGTAATTATATTGTAATAGGGAGAATGAAGCTTTTCATCCCAAGGTTTGAACCACACCATCTAAAACATTCCAAAGTTTAAAAGCATGATATTTTCATCCCAAACTTTTCAAAAATATGTAATATTAGGACAGTTGTTAATTTTTTCAAGTTATTAACGGCGATATTTCATTCAGTTTCTTTTCCCCCATTTTTTTTAGTCAAAAAAGTTTCATACTTGCGTTTGGTAAATTTGGTCCATGCCAAGTAAAGAAGTTGTATGCCCCTGCATCAATTACAACACCAATTTTTATAATGATGCTACATATTTAAAAATAAATAAATGAAATAGGACTTACTTTCTACTTAGGACACACACAAAACCTCTCACGATTGTTATCAATCTAGAAGGTGAATCTTGGATATATATATATATATATATATATATATATTTCTAAGCAAGGGAAGAATGGATGATGTGAAGACCAAATTAGGTTTAGCTATTTTCTTATAAAGTGGGAGTTAGTGGAACGTGTTAAATGATTAAAAGAATTGGGGGAGGAGAAACAGAATAAAGTACCACCACTAATTAATTAACTAGAGTTAAAAATTTAACGAATATCCTAATGTAACATATTTTTAAAAAGTTTGGGATGTAAGTGGCATGTTCTTAAACTTTAGGATGTTTTGGATAGTGTGGCCCAAACTTTGAGATGAAAAGACCCATTTTCTCTATTGTAATAATATGGATTTAAGAGTGCAATGATCTGTTTTAATAATTATTTGGATATTCGTTTTGACTGTAACCAAAACGAACAACTTAAGTTATTAATAAATCAGGTAGCTCAATTGTATAAGGTGGTTTGTGGGATTGCGAACAGTTACATGCTTAACATGCTAGCTTGATCGGGACTCCACCAAAGAGTGCTGGAGATAATATTGCCACAGATATAATTACATTTGTTGTTTACAATGACATAAGAAAGATATATACTAATAGTTATTTTTCAAACGCCGTGCATATGTGAACACAAAATACTATTCAATATCTTTCTTTGGGGTAGTACAATCTCTTTCTCTTTGAAAAAAAAAATACAAATAACTCTAAACGTGTTAAAAAACACAACCCATGAACAAATCATGTCAAAAGATGATGAAGATTTTCTTCTTGCAACATTTATTTGATTATTCAACTAGACATTTTCAAATTCTGCTACTATATCTAAACATACATTGACTTATTATACATATCAGTTTATTACACGTCGAAGTTCATCCTGCAGAATAACTGTAATCATTCATATTCTCGAGTTTGAAGGTCTTGCTTATCTAAGACTCTTTGTATATATGTACTGTATCCTAAAGATAAAATTACTTTTAACCCTATGTTAAAATTGTTGGGACAACTACCATGTTAAAAACAGTACTGTCTACACATGCCCTAAAATATTCCGCGGTGATTCTTGTTTCCCTGTTACATATATAGGTGCAAATCAAATCAAATTATTCTACGAGACTACATATATAATCATGGCCTTGTTCATAAGTAATTCAGCGGAAAAATGTTATATAACTAGAGATTAGAGATATTAGGAGGAGAAGGAGATCGATGATGTGGAGGTATTGTGCAGAAAAATGGTATTTTCCTCTCCTTGTGATGACAGCCATTGATTTAGCATTTGCAATTACTAATATACTTCTAAAACAAATCATCAATGGCGGGATTAACCTTTTGGTCTTCATCACTTATCGTCAGTTGATCTCTTCTCTTTCTTTGGCACCAATTGCTTACTTCCTCGAGAGGTAACAAATTTAATTTTCTTTGATTTTTTTTTTTTTTTGGTACAAAGAAAAAGTTATACATATATATCGTCGATAATATGAGAGGTTTTTGTATATATACGAAATCATTCAGTTTCACCAAAAAAAAAAAAACTACTACAATGGATTCAGAAACCAATTCTAAGTTAAAAGATATGTAAATGAGATCATACCGTGATACCTATATTTCAATGTAATTAATCTTTTGTTTCTTTCACACAGCGTATTGTATATTGTAGAATCAACTATTTATCCTTAAAATCTTCTTGCTAATCAATCTTTGGCCTCACGTTGTGTCCGAATTCTCTTTTATATTTCCAGTGTAAAACTTCATTATAACTTAATTATTAGAATGCTGCTATACGATCTGAAATGATATTTTTGCAATGAATTTTCAGAAAAAGCAGACCGAAGCTCAAGTGGACAATTTCATTTCAGCTTTTCTTAAGTGCCATTGTCGGGTAATTAAATATTGATTAATTAGTTAATATACATAAATTAATATATACATCATTGTTGATTTAATTTTTATTACGTGGTTGTGCATGCAGGGCATCCGTGACGCAATATTTGTTCCTTCTTGGTATTCAATACACATCAGCAACATTCTCTTGCGCTTTCCTCAACTTGGTTCCGGTGCTCACTTTCCTCATGGCATTGCCTTTTGGGTAATTTACTCCCAAAATAATTAAGATCGACAAGAAATTTTACTTCCCCTCAAAATTACTGTTATTTTGTTAAATTAAGTTATAGATGACTTGTGCGGAAGCCATGTTGGAGTATAGGATTTTTTTTTATCTAACATCAGAGATCGTTTTAGTCAAAACTCAAAAGTTAATGTAATAATTTATTATTTCAAAATATTAGCAAATGTTTTAGTCCAATATGCCACACGTAGACAAGAACGTTGGCTCAATTATAGAACTTAATTATTTAATTATTGATTTTTTATTTTTTATTTTTTAGTAAGCGATTTTTCAATAAGATACGATAATTACCTGTTCCATTTAACATAACTTTTGAATCTTTTAGTTCATAGTAAATCATGTGTTCATGACTGCTAATTTAATCAAAACAATATGCAGAATGGAGAGTGTTAGCATCAAAAGCAGTGGAGGAAAGGCCAAAGTAATTGGATCAATGGTGTGTATAGGAGGAGCAATATTTTTAACTCTTTATAAAGGAATGCCTTTGAACATGCATCATCATTATGATCATCATTCTATCATTTTTGATGATTCAAAATCAATGAGCCCAAGAGAAAAGAAAGAGAGATGGATAAAGGGATGTGCAGCTTTGTTTGGGGGAACAATGATGTGGTCATCTTGGTTCATTCTTCAGTCAAAGATTAGCAAGAGATATCCTTGCAATTACACCTCCACATCTATCATGGCTTTCTTCAGTTCTCTCCAATCTGCTCTCTTATGTTTCTGCATCTACCGGGATCTTTCCATCTGGTTTCTCAAACCAAATCTCGAGATGTTAACCGTCATTTATGCAGTAAGCAAAACGTTTTATTTTTAATAATAAAATCTCACGCTTTCTTATCAGAATAATTAGATGATTATAAGTTTTTGAACAAATGTATTTAATTTGAAATGTATTGGGTGGGATAAGTAACATTTCCGTTTGTTGTTTTCTTCACAATGATATTTATTTCAATATTCTATAATTACGATTTACTAGGAGAATTTACTTAATAAAACTTTGGTTATAGGGGATGGTGGGTTCTGGATTGTGCTTTGTAGGGATGACTTGGTGCGTGAAGAAGAAAGGCCCAGTTTTCACAGCAGCATTCAGCCCCTTTGTCCAGATCATTGCGGCCATATTTGAAGTGCCGCTGTTTCATGAGCAACTCTATTTGGGAACCTTAATTGGATCTTCCATTGTTATTGTGGGTTTATACATGCTTCTTTGGGCTAAAAACCATGAAGCCCAGATTTTGGAACCCAAGGAGACTCCCAGCAAACAATTCCAAATCATTCACGTTAATCATGAACCTAATCCAGCTTAGGGAAATTGTATGGATAGATAGATTTGTTTTAATTTTCGCTTTAAAATTGAAAAGCTATTGAAACAAGTATTTTGAATGTAAGTTCAAAGACAAATTTGAATAACAGCCTAGTGATTATGATTTTGTACTTCCTGATACTAGACGGGTTCAATTCTCACCAAAGGGTTTATAAAGTGAGTTTTACCCACATTTAAGTGAAGCTATCTTTTCAAATGTAAAATTTCTATTTTTTTAATTTTTTTTTTGAATATGTATGGGATTTATTTTAAAATATATATATGAAAAAGAGTTCCGTTAAAAATACTAAAGATCGTAAAAGATATATGTAATGAGATAACGAAAAATTAGAGTTCCATTAAAAATACTAAAGATCGAGATATTTAATAATATAATGAAAATAATTATTTCATAATATATAATTTTTCAGCGCTCTTGTGCCGAAGATGACCCGATCTGCCGAAGTTGTGGGATGTAAAAATACATCGTCCAAATTTTTCCCGCATGAACAGTCAGCTAAATGGTAAAGTAACAATAGTCTAGTTGATAATGACAACGTCATGGCCCATGGATAAGGAGCTGACTTTAAGATTTATATTCATGAAAAATACGTAATGAGATAACGAAAATAATTCTTTCAAAATATGTAATTCGTCTTCGATGCAAATTACTTTGGTCGGTGTCCAAATTTTTTCCAAATGAACCATCAGCTAAGGGTGTTCACGGTCCGGGTAGTCCAGTTTTTGGACTAATCCGTGACCAAACAGTTAGTTCACGTTTCAGAAAATCCCAAACCACATCGGACCAGTTAGCTATTTCAAACCGGACCAAATCAAACCGCAATTGTCACAGCCTGGGGACTTGATCGACATTTTGGCACAATACAGGGGCTCCTTTATAATTCTTCGTCAACTAAGTCAACTCAGACGACATTAGGGGGTATTAACTGTGCATTTCATTTCGTCTGCATTTTAGTTGTATTTTCCATTCCGGTTAAAAAAACTCCTTTCCCGGCCAGCTGGAAACTTTTGGGGGGATTCAACCGTCTATCGGAAATTCCTTTTATAAATAGGACTGTGTAACCGCCCCTGGGGTTTTTGTCAAAGAAATACACTATATTCAGTTTTCTTCTTCCCATCTCTCTTTGTTATTTGTCCTACTCTTCGGAGTCTGATTGTAATTCCGGTAACTCTGCCGGTATCTTACACGTTGGTATCAGAGCCGGAGAATTCCTCGGCTCGAATCGCGATTGCGGAAGGTACTAGATCCATGAAACAATTGGTAGAATAGATCAAGAAGCATGAAGCTCGCTTAGCTGAAGTCACGGCTGGATTTAACAATCATGTCAATGGTAAGTTTCCGGAGTTTCAGACGCAAATTGAGGCCAAACTGAAGACGCCGATGGAAGGCATGGCTTCGAAATCTCAATTGGATCGGATGAAAGCAATGATTACATCTCTCGCTCAATCTCAGATCCATTCTGGTCCGATTCCACCGGTTAGAGACAAGGCACCAATCAGATTTGGGGATATGCCGGCTGAGAGGTCACCTGTGATGTTGAATTCAGGAAAGGCTTTAAGAATTCACACTGATGGGGAATTTACAACAGCAGCAAGAGATCATGGCTTCCGTCCTCAATGGTTCACTCAACCAAAGTTGGAGTTACCAATGTATGAATGAGAAGGAAACCCTAGAACGTGGATCCGCAAGTGTGAGAAATTTTTCCAGTGACATCAAGTGGCGGAACATTGGAAAGTGGAACACATTGAGTTGTATTTGGAAGGGAAAGCTGAAATTTGGTTTCAGGCTACAAAAATGCTGAAACCACAGCTGTCTTGGGTTGAATTCAAGAATGGACTGATTAGAAGGTTTGCTGGGAAAGGAATGCAAGATGATGTGGAAGAGTTTAATAAATTGATTCAGCAGGATAATGTGAAGGAATACCATGAGAGATTTGAAGATTTGAGGACCCGAATGTTGTGCAAGGATCCTCACTTGACTGAGGGTTATTTTATTTCCAATTTTATCAGTGGATTGAAGGAAGAGATCAAGCCTATGGTTCGGATGTTGCCTCATCAAGACCTGAATGAAGTGTTTGATATTGCATTACTTCAAGAGCAAAATCTATCTGTTAAAGCTAAAGCTGGAAGGATCAACCATCCGACACCTGCTAAGACATATATTTCCTCAGTTAAGGTACCTGAACATCCTAAACCTCCTGTTAAGAAAGAGAGTATGTGTGATCAATATAAAAGTTTAACTCATGAAGAGTATCAATATAGAAGGAACCATGGTTTGTACTATAAATGTGCTGAAAAATTTGGGCCGGGTCATAAATGCCAGTTTAGGAAGTTTAATGTGTTGATTGTGGATGAAGACTGTGATGAAAATTCTCTGTCAATTCCTAAACTGAATGTTGATGATGGCCTGGACATTAATGATTTGACGTTGGATGAGCGATCATTGCATGTTTTGTTTGTTACACCTGTGAAGCAAACCATTCTTATAGTGGGGAAAATTGGTGGAAGATTTATTAGAATTTTAGTGGATACGGGTAGTACAGACAGTTTTCTTGATATTAAAGTGGTGATGGACTTGCAACTTCATTATGAGGAATCTGAGTTATACACGGTTACTGTGGGGAATGGAAGTCGGGTTTCTGGGAGTTTGATTTGTCCTAAACTGAGATGGGACATTCATGACTTGAAATTTAGTTATGATTTGAAGATTATAAAACTGGGCGGTTATGATATGATTCTGGGTGTGGATTGGATGGCTCATTATAGTCCTATTACATTTGATTTCTTGGATATATCAATATTAAATTGAGCAAATATGGGAGGCAATATGTTTTACATGTAAGATGGCAGGGGGGTGAGTATGCAGTTAATCAGGGAAGAAGAGTTCATAGAAGTGGCACATGATAAGAGAAGGAGGGTATCTTCACTTCATTTGAAATCTTTGTTGATAAATGAACAACCAGGGCCGTTGGAGGTACATGAATCTGTGTTGCAGCTGACTCAAAAGCATGAAGGAATTTTTGCTATTCCAACATCTTTGCCCCCCACAAGTTTATAAATCACTGCATAGTGCTAAAAGAGGGTTCCAAACCTTTCAAAATTCCGCCATATCGTTGTCCTCATGCCTGGAAAGTTGAAATTGAGAACCAAGTGGATAAAATGATAGAACAGGGAATTGCTCAGCATAGCACCAGTCCATATGCATCTCCGGTGGTTTTAACTAGGAAGAAAGATGGCAGTTGGAGATTATGTGTTGATTTCAGAAGACTGAATGAGATGACTGTAAAAGACAAATTCCCAATACCTATTATTGAGGAATTATTAGATGAACTGGAGGCCGCTACTGTATTTACCAAACTAGACTTGAGATTGGGGTATCATCAAATCAGAATGGAGGCGGGGGATATTCCCAAAACATCATTTCACACTCACCACGGTCATTTCGAGTTCTTGGTGATGCCATTCGGCTTAACTAATGCCCCGTCAACCTTCCAGGCTTTGATGAACCAAGTATTTCAGGGTCTGCTCCGGAAGAGTGTTCTTGTGTTTTTTGATAACATTCTGATCTATAGTTCTAGTCTGGAACAGCATTTGGTAGATTTGGAAGAGGTATTTGGGTTGCTGCAACAGCATCAACTTTTTGTTAAAAAAAAGTAAGTGTTCGTTTGCCCAGCCATCAGTGGACTATTTGGGACACACCATTTCAGCTGGAACAGTAAGCATGGACAAGAGTAAGGTGGACTGTATTGTTGATTGGCCTATACCAGCAAATGTCAAGCAACTGAGGGGCTTCTTGGGTTTGACTGGCTACTACCGACGCTTTATTAAACACTATGGTTTAATTTGTCGACCTTTAACGGACCTTCTAAAGAAGAATGCTTTCTCCTGGACTCCAGCAGCTGAAAAAGCCTTTTTGGAACTTAAAACAGTGATGTCTACTTTCCCCGTTTTGAAAATGCCTGATTTTTCCATTCCTTTTGTGGTGGAAACGGATGCTTGTGAAACAGGTATGTGGGTTGTACTTATGCAACAGGGTCAGCCTATTGCTTATATTAGCAAGGCTTTTAACAAACAGGATCAAGGCTTATCTGTGTATGACAAGGAATTGATGGCGTTGGTTTTAGCCGTCACGAAGTGAAGGCATTACCTTGTTGGAGTTCATTTTATAGTCAAGACCGATCATCAATCCTTAAAGTGTTTGTTGGAACAAAAGGTTGTTAGTTCCTCTCAACATAAGTGGTTAACCAAGTTGTTGGGTTATGACTACGAAATTCACTATAAGAGGGGCAATGATAACACTGCTCCGGATGCTTTGTCCAGGAAAGTACATTTTATCTCTGATAGTGGAGGATTCGATAGCTCAGTAGCAGGAGAGCATTATGCAATTACAACAGCGCAACCACAGTGGGTACAAGACATCATGGAGAGTTATGCGAATGACCAAGCCGTGAAGGACCTTATTGTGGCAGTAAGTACCCATCCTGATACCGTTCCTGATTTTCAGTATATCCAGGGTATATTAAGAAAGAAGGGGAAGATTTATGTTGGCTGCGGTACTAGTATCAGGACTGATCTGATGGAAACCTTTCATTCTTCTACCTTGGGTGGACATTCAGGCCAGAATGCTACTATTTAGAGATTGAAGTCATTGTTTTTTCGGCCTAACTTGAAGAAGGAAGTTGTAGCTTATATCTGGCAATGCGAGGTCTGTCAGAGGAATAAAAGTGAACATGTTTTATCCCCTGGAATGCTTCAACCACTTCCTATACCTGTCCATGCTTGGAAAAGCATTTCCATGGACTTTATTGTTAAGCTTCCCCCTTCTCGGAATGTTAACACTATCATGATTGTGGTGGATCGACTAACCAAATACAGTCATTTCTTGGCTTAAGGGACTCCTATCATAGCGGCGGGGGTTGCTGAACTGTTCATCAATGAAGTGTTCAGGTTATATGGTTTACTAGAGGACATTGTTACTGACAGGGATCCAGTGTTTACCAGCCATTTCTGGCAAGCTCTTTTTCAGCATTTAGGAGTTAAACTGAAAATGAGCACTTCATACCACCCATAGACGGATGGTCAAACGGAGAGGGTCAATCAGTGCATTGAAACTTACTTAAGATTTTTTTATTGTGACAAACCGGATTGCTGGAGCTCCTGGTTACCTATGGCTGAGTGGTGGTACAATACTTCCTACCATGTCAGCATTCAAATGTCTCCTTTTGAAGCCTCGTATGGAGATAAACCAACTCCATTTCCATTGGGTCCCTTTGTTGAAA